GAACAAGCGGGCCAGCGCGCGCCGGCTCCCGCCTCTTACCCCGATCCGGACCCCCGCTCCGGCCCCGAGCGCGCTCCGCTCTACCGCCATCTTCCCCCACCAGCCGGCCGCTCTGCCACGTCCTGTCCTTGCGCCTCCGCGAAGCCTTGTGGGAAGGTGAGTCTCGCGGCTCAGGACTACAACTCCCGAGAGGCCTGGCGCTCGGATTCTCCGGCAACGCCCCGTTTAGGGTTCCATTTCCGGGGCTCCTCTAGGTGTCTGGAATCCAGTCTTCGCTCTCAGAAGACAGTGTTGACCGTGGAGGCAGATGGCTATAGGCCACTCCCGGGACTAGGGGGGCGGGGGGGGGGGGCGGTGTACGGCGTGGCCCGAGGCCCTAGATTAGATGGCTGGAAACTCGGATTATAGACTTAATTCTGACAGCATCCTCATTTGTAAAAATGGAGATAATGATTCATAACTACTGCCTCAAGGTGCTGTTTGGGAATCAGGCTTGTAATGAATGTGAAAGCCGGATAGACACACCCCATACCTCCCCTCCTCAATTTCACCATGGAGGAAAAAAATCTCACTGGCCTCAGCCCAGCCAGACACATCTGGACTATTGGGTTCAATTTTATGAACAAGTTTAGAGTGGTTCCTGAGAAGGGTCACCAGAATGGTCAAACGACCTGAACTAATGCCAACTGGGGATCAGATGAAAGCATTGGAAATGTTTACCAAAGAGAAGAGTGAAATTAAAGGGTTAGGACATTAGTGAAATTAAAGGGTTATTATAGGTTTTGAAGGATTTTATTTAACTTGATCCCACAGGTTAAGAGTAATCAGTTAGATTTCAGGTCAAAATTTTTCTGACAAATAAAAACTGTCCAAAAGTGGATAAATTGCTTCTAGTGATCTTCAAGCTGAGGGTGCATGCTGTAGACTACAATATAGAGGGAATTGCTGCTTTCCTATGGTTTCAACAAGAATTTATTTTTGTGTTGGGACTAAGTGACCTTTGAGATTCTTCCCAACACCGAGTCTAACTCTCAGGCTTTGGATGACTCAGGAGGGCAAAGAAATGTGGAAGTTTAACTATTGCTATGGTTGTTGGAATCACATACAAGGAAGAAGACCTCAGGGACCCTGAGATCCAATGAAAGAGCAGAGGAACTGCAGTGTGATCCTGAGGCCAGACACAACCTCCCAACTTGCTTCTTTCTCATGAATGTCAAGGATCACACCATAATTGATTTTTTTGTGGACTTGATTTCATAGTGTTGGGAACTCCCAACATGGAAAATACCCAGTGGACTTTCTGTAACTTAGTCTTGAATAAGTGAACAGTGGTAACACAGCTAGTATCAGGTAAGACTCAACAGAGGTCATTTTGACTCAAGGACTGCCATCAACCCACTCTTCTAGACTGCCTCTAATCATGAGGATGCAATGAGTTAGCAGATATAAATATACTTTGTTGTATTAAAAATGCTTCACAAATACACTAGCACTTAAGGAAATGAGTCATTCTGAAGTTTTCTGAAATGCTGAAGGCCTGCAACTTTCTTTCAATCATATTTGATTGAATACCAAAGCATCTGGCTGTCTTCAGTTTCCCACTGTGGACAGCTATACTAGACTAAAAAGTGTACTAGACTAAAGGCAGCTGCTGACCTGAATTAGTAGAGGGGATTTTTTCAGCATTAGTTTCCTATAATAATGTGGTAATAGTTTTGGACCAAACAGGCGTTTCTTCTCCATACTCTCTTCTCTCCAAACTATCAATCTCACTAAATCTCCTTTAAAAAATCTTGGGGGGCTCCTTTGCTTATTGAGTAAAGACCAAACAGGCCCCACTGTGTGCTACTCTACCTTTTCAACTGGATGTCACACTGCTTCTTTTGCCCTCAGCTCACCAGAACATTTTGTCATGTTACCGCCATGCCTTTATTAATAGTTCCTCATCCCTGAAATGTAACTCATCCCCCTTTTCACTGCTGCAATTTCTACCCATCTTCAATATCCAATCCAATTTACATGCCACCTTTCCTTGTAGGAAGCTTGCTGTTATCACCTATAAGGAATAACCTTCTCCTTTTTATTGTTTTACAAGCAGTGAACATATACCCCAGTTGTTTGTATGCATTTTTCCCCCTTACACAATTGACTCCAAGAGGGAAAAGCCCAACTAAATTGTATCTCCCTCAGGTCCAAGGACAATGTTCTGCACACAGTAAGTACATAAATAAGTGTTTGCTCAATAAAATGAGATGGTGCCATAACAACGCGCTGACATGGAGGAAGAAAGGCCTTTTCAACAAGCATGTGAGTTTGGTTATTCACTTTATTATGCAAAACTTCATAGTCCTTTGCTTTCCAGAGCTGCATCCTCACTCACTGCATCATTTCATTTCCAAGGCTGCAGCACTGACCACCTTCCCTTAGCCCGGGGCCTGGTTCAGGAGGTAGATGGAACGGCCATCTCAGAACCAGGAATCCCTGCTGGCACATAAGACTCCTACTGTGTTACTACGTCCTACAAGCGGAGACAAGTCACCAGCATTTATGTCTCTCCTGTGAGAGCCCCTACGGCCCCAAGCCCAAGCAGAGGACAAAAGCAGGGCTGAGCACTCAATAAACAGCTTTCTTTCACTGTTGCTGGGCTCGCAGCTGGGATGGGGAGGCCTTATCCATGGGCAGGAGACAGCAACTAAGGCCCAGTCACAGACCAGATAAGCCAGGCTTTTCTCCTTCCCTCTCTCTACTCCATTCTCCAAGCTAAGTTGACTCCAGGCCATAGTCCCGAAGTTCTTGTCACTTGCCCCAAGTTGGGCTAGAAACGAAATGTATGAAAATACTTTAAAATTACTTCTTTTCAAACAGGTTAAGAAATAAGGTGGTTGGGCTTTTTTTTTTTAAACAATCCCCAAGTAGAAAAGTTCACATTACTGCCTGAACCCCTGCACCAGGCTGCCCTTTTCCCTCACCCAATCATTCTCTTTCCCCACACCAAATCAGTAGAAACGCTTGTTCCTCTCCTGTCGCTTCTGAAACACCACAGCTCCCACCACAGCACACACGATGATCCCCAACAGGGCACAGAGCAGCAGCAGGAACACCTTCCACCCTGTCAGAGGGCCACTTCGGAAGTTCCCAGTGGGGTCATCCACGTTATCTGAGGAAGCAGAGGAGAGACTGAGAGCAGGGCACCAGGAAGAGGCCATTCCCCAGCCCCCTCCCAGATGCAGCGTATCCCCTGGAAAGCCAAGCCGAGCCAAATCACACAGCTGGAGGTTGGGACTGGGTCCTCCAGAGGGCACAAGAGTAACAGGACCTTCCACTAAAGTTTCCCTTCAGTGGCCAAGGCATAGACACGACCTTGACTTACTGAAGGGTATACATGCCAAAGGAGTGCAAGCTCCGGAAGGTCCTACCAAGTCAGAAAGGTTTCAAGGATGGGCCCAGGATGGATTGTGCTGTCACTCAAGAATGACCCTAGATAAATGTGGAGAGGCTTCATTACCAGATGGCTGGCTATGATGGGATAAATTTTTCTGACCAAAGCAATTCAATCCATTTACTAAGGCTGAGTCAAATAGGAGGGGGAGGGGGGAATTGGATCCTATGTCAGTGAGAGAGCACCCCCACAGGTATGGTCACAGATCATTTAAGAATTTATAACAAAATCATAGATTTAGAGCTAGAAGGGACCTCAGAGGCTCTCTGAGCAATCTCATTTTACAGATGAGGAAACTGAGGCCCACAAAATGGTTCACCCAAGTTCACACAGGTAGTAAGTAGCAGAGAGAAGAATCGAACCCAGATCCTCTGACTCCAAATGTAGGGTTCTTTCTCCTATCTCATGAGCTTTCTCTCTGTCAGAATCCATGGCATCACTATCCCTACCCCCATCCAACTACAGCCCCAGGCTCCCCAAAGTGGTCACACCATAGCTTCTATTGTTCTAGCCAAAGCCACAGCTTCTTAGCTAAAGGTCCCAGGAGCATGCTGGGGTCTCCCAGACTAGGCTGGAGACGCACCTTTGGGAGACTTGAGGAAGCTGACACTGGGCTCAATCTTGGTCCAGTCAATGTTATCCTCTTCTGGAGTGTGCTCCACCATCAGCTGGAATAACTTCATTGAGATGATATCGTGATTATCTGCAGGACAAGGGCATATAATAAACCATTCTGAAGTTCCTTCCTGTAGGTGAACCTACCTACCCAGCTAACAGGACCAGCAAACTCTGTCCTATTCTGTGCCCTCAACTCACCAGAACACATTTGGCAATGTTACTGCCATGCCTTTATTAAGGTTCCCTATCCCTGAAATGTCACCTATTCTCCTCTTCACCTTTCATAATTTCTACCTATCTTTGATAACCCAATTCAAATGTCATCTGTTAAGTTCTCCTGCAGCCTAGCCCCTGAAGCCCTTCATTCTTTCTCTCAGCATAAGAATTCCAGAGTTGAACCAAATTCCTCCCCTAAGTGAATCTCACAGCTGGAAGGGATCTTAGAGGTCATCTCGTACAAGCCTTACCTTCAAGCACAAATCTGGTCTACAGCATCTCTGATGACAGCATATCTATCTTCTCCAATAATTTCACTGACTGAGAACTCACTACCTTCCTAAGAAGCTAATTTTGTGGGGGGTTTTGACAGTTCTAACTAATATGCAAAGCTGAAATCTGTCTCCCTGTTACTCTCCTCATTGGTACTGCTTCTGCTCTCTGGGATCAAGCAGAACAAGTCTAATCTGTCCATTAGAGCCTCAGTTAACAGGAGTACAATGGCAGGGTCACCCATTATATTTTCAACACTTGCCTTCTCTGTAATACAGCTCTGCCACAGTATTGGCTCAAAAGGAGCTTGCTTACAACCCACTGAACTCTCCTGACTTTTCCCACACAAGTTACTACTGAGCATGTACTTCTACAGCCCAAACTTGCTATCAAGAAAATCAACTGCAGAAGAACAGGATTGTGCATTTAGCCCCATTAAATATCATCTCAGTAGATTTGGATGATCGTTCTGGATTGTTCCAACAAATCCAAGATATGGCATCTGTAAATGTGGTAAACATTCCATATATTCCTTCATCCAAATCACTGATAAAAATGTCCACACAGAACAGAGGGAAGGGTAGAGCCCTGTAATTGCCACTAGGTGTCCTTCCAGATTGACATCAGCCCAATACTCAACACTTTTTGGGTCTGATCTTTCAACCAGTCTGAATCCAGTTATTATCCTCAGTTTTCCATCTTGTTAACAAAGACGTATTTACCAAAGGACACTCTCTCAAACACTCTGCTGAAATGCAGGTATGCTAGGTCTATGGCATCTCACTGGTCCAACCAGCTTGTAACCCTAGCAAGACTGAAGATGGACTTAACGGGGATGGAATCCCAGATCTCAGAACTCACCAAGTTCCCGGGCATCACCTTCCATTTTTGAAAAGTTCTCATTGTCAGCAAGTTTTTCCTTAAATCAAGCGCAAATTCACCTCTCTACAACTTCCACCCAGTGCTCATTTGGGCCCAGGCAGAATCTAATCTAAGACAGCAGTCATGCCCTTTTCTAATTCTTCTCTCCTCCAGGTTAAACATCCCTAATTCCTTCAACTGATTCTTGATACCTAACACAACTTTGCAACCAATGTCCTTATCAAACTATAGCACCCAGAACCAACCACAATGCTCCAAATGTGGTCTGACCAACTCAGAGCAGAGTGGTCCTCCTATGTTCTAGGCACCATGGTTGTCTTGACTGAACTTAAGAAAGGAGTCAGAAAAATTGATGTCTTGTTGCCCAGATGACTCACACGGAGCTGGCCTCAGCTGGCACTAAAACCCCCAAATCTTTTTCACAGAAATGAATATCTAGCTTGTGCCTTCCCTATCCTGTACTTAAGAAGCAGCTAGGAATCTCCCAGCCTGGAAGCTCCTCGCTGACTCTTTATGGTACTTTATGCTGACCAAAGTCATTCCCCCTTCCCCAATACCGAGGGGGGGGGAGGGACCCACGGGAAGCAGACACTGAAGTTGCCCCAAATTGCCCCATGCCTCACTGAAAGACATTCTCACAAATACTTCTCAGTCCACTCAGTTCCCAAGGTTCTCACCAGAAAGGTCACCCGTGCCAGCTGAGGCACCAAAGTAGTAGCCAGTAGGTAGCTGCACTCCAGAAATGTCGATACAGTTCTTCCATTCATTCTTATCTTCTACATCTGTCATCACCTAGGGTGTAGAGGTGAAAGATAAAGAAAGATAAAACTGGTTGTCATGCTATCACAGCCCTCCCTTAGCTTTCTAACACCAGCCCTCGGCTCAAGTTGCCAATGCCCAGCTCCTAAAGGAAGTCCATGAGAGTACATCTACTCACCGTCAGGCGGCCTCGAGAGTAGCGCACAGCCAGAAAAGTATCATGATTTTGGTTGCGGAAGTCAGCTGTGCAGCCTGCCAGCTCTGTCCATCTTCCATCCTTGCTGTGATCATATGTCAGGGAGCCATTGTTCACCATCACTGATATATATGGAAATACACGCTACAGGCAGAAACAGAGACACCTATCATTCCAATGCCTGAGTCACTGGTTTCCTACCCAAAAAGGAAATAAGAGTTCAGCCCAAAGTCAAGGCAACAGCATGGGACAGTGGAAAGAACACTGGATTCTCACAGGACACAAACTGAAATATCCACTCTAACACTTAGCACCCAGTGTAACTATAGTCAGATCATTCTATCTCTCAGGGCCTCAGTTTCCTCATTTATAAAATGAAGAGGGTCCCCTTCAGCTTTCTATCTCGAAGCCTTTAAGAGGTTGGACTAGATGGATTTCTAGGGTCCCTTCTAGTTTAAAATCCTGTGAGACAATAGGAAACAATAGTTTTATTCAGAGATTAGGTAGAAGGTCTGGACTGATTGAGTTAGGGCCTGGCTCTCCCACAACATATCCTAGTTCAACTCATCAAGTATATCCAGGGTCGTACCTCAGTAGCTTCATCATTGGGGTAAGTGTCCAGGAAGATGGCCAGTCCATGGAAGTTGTCCTTGCTTCCAAACACAGGACCTACAGCAGATAGAAAGGATGGTTCCAGTCCCATAGTTTAAAAAGATTCCTTATTCCCCCCAAAACAGAAGTCACTAGCAGAGTATAAAGATGACCCTATTATTTTCTTTGCTCTCCAACCAGCAAGGAATATACTTATCAGTTATCAACAAACCCTTCCCCACCTCACCCCTTTCATCCCTCCAAGAAGGATAACACTGGCCCATTATACTGGCCTCCACAGATGCAAATGAGTGCATGGCTGTAAGCTTTGGGCTTATCCAGGGAGGACCACCATTCCCCAGGGTCCAAGGTAAAGGAATGACGTGCTTGCTGCAATACCCAGTGGAGAGGGTCTGGTCATCTTAACCCCACCTGGCACAAGGCGGTCCCTGGTGTACCACAGAGCAAAGCCGTCTCCATGGAGGCTCTTCTTTCCAAGGCCATGGACTTTGAAATGGACATGCATCTCCCAATCCTTGAGGAAGCAGGGCTGGTGGAAAACAGAGGCTGTCAGGGCCAGCACAGTCCCACAAATCACTAGGTTTTATCTTCATGACCAAAAAGCAAGGTCCTAAGGGGCAGGGGCCAGTGATTTCTACTCTTTTTGTTTTTTAATTCCCCTACCACTACGGCAATAACTTTGTTGTTCAGTGGATCTAGCGCTCATGATCCCAAAGACATCTTTGTATACGCTGATGTTTCTGAACCACAACACCAAATCGGAATTGGGCCTCACAACAACTCAGCTTCTATCCCCACAAAATATGACATGGTACAGTCATAGAGAAGGAAAGAGCATGATATTGTGCAAAAAGGACTGGAAGTGGAGTCAGAAGACCTAAATGTGACATCCAGCCCTGCAAGTTACTAGCTATGCATCCTTAGGCCAGTCACTTTCCCTCTGTGGGCCTCAGTTTTCCTTGCTGTAAAATAATCAGGGGGTTAGATTTGATATCCCTAAAGGTCCCACCCACCTCTAAACTCCAAGGTTCTCAGACTTTAGACATGACATACAGTTTCTTAGGGCCTTAGGTTTTTCATCTATGACATGCAGAGGTCAGTGGGATTTTGACCTCTGAGGCCTCTTCTTATTCTAAGGTCTGGGATTCTGAGTGTGAACACTTGTACACCACAAGGACCAGGCTATGTCACCTGTGTGCCAAGGAGCTTACTAAGAGACAGTATGGACTACCAGACAGAAATTCGGGCTTTACAAGGTCTTAGGGTTATAAAGCCCATGTTCTGGGAGGACTGCTTACTTTATACAACCGTTAAATCAAGCAGAACCCACAGGCATACAGAAACCACTGGGAAATAGTTAAAGTCTTCTCTAGCTATCAGGAAATTGCATACTGAAACCAATGTGGCAACACAGAGCTATGCCGACAACTGTAAACACACAGAGGCACAAACTGAGGCACAACTACAAAGCAATGAGCTAACATAAATTGATGTTCTTTAGCAATTTAGGTGTCTGCCAGTGTTTGCTGGCAGAGTTGCAAACTGCTCCAACAATCCTGGAGAGCAATTTGGAATTATGCCTAAAGGGCTATAAAGCTGTTAATAGCCTTTGGTCCAGCAATACCACAACTAGGTCTCAATCCCAAAGGGATCAAAGAAAGAGGAAAAGGACCTACACGTACAAAAATATTTATAGCAGCTCTTATTGTGGTGGCAAAGAACTGGAAATCGAGGGGATGTCCATCAACTGGGGAATGGCTGAACAAGTTGTGGTTTATAATTGTGATGGAATACTATTGTTCTATAAGAAATGATGAACAGGATAGTTTCAGAAAAACCTGGGAGGTCTTATTTGAACTGATCCAAAGTGAAGAGAGCAGAACCAGGAGAACACTGTACAAAGTAACAGCAATATCTAAAAATAATCAACTGTGAAAGACTTAGCTTCTCTAATCAACACAATGATCCACGACAATCCAAAGGACTTAATGAAACATGATGAAAATGTTTTCCATCTCCAGGGAGAGAAAGAACTGATGAACTCTGAGCCCAGATTGAAGCATGCTTTTTTCACTTTATTTTTCTTGCTTTTTTGTTGTTGTTGTTGTTAAGGCAACATGGCTAACATGGAAATATGTTTTACAAGACTTCAAAATTTCAAAAAATGTAACTGATATCCTATACTGCTTGTCTTATCAATAGGTGGGAGAGGGTCTGGAGGAAGGGAGAGAAATGTAAAAAAAAAAAAAAAGAAGTTAAATAAGAAAAAAAAAGAAAAAATCAACAATCAGCTTGCCAATTAGACGTAGCTCCAAATACTTTCCTGCACTTCCTCCACTCCTAGATTGAGTGAGTGCCAGGCAGATAATCCATCATGTAGCAGGGGCAGCCATGACTCTTACTCTCAGCTTCTATTTTAAGTAAGTTGTTCCTTTTATTTGGGGGGAGGGGGAAGGAATGTTTTCTAAATGCCAGTTAAGGGATCAGTTATGTTGGTCTACAAAACTATTATTCCCTTATTTCTCAAAACCTAAACTTTAAACAAATCTGACAACTCTTCCTCTTCCCTAAATCCTGCTTCTTCCACACTCAGTTTTAACTCTCAGTTCCAGTATAAAAGTGGAAGTATTTTAGATTCTTTACTCATCCTGAAAATAGAACGAGTTGAGAAGCACTAATACAGAATTAGTATTACTACAAAATTAGAACTAGTTAAAAGTTGGTCATGGTACATGACTCTACTCTCCCTTCTTTCCTTCCTTTCTTTCTCTCTTTCTTTTCTTTCTTCCTTCCTTTTCTTTCTCTCTCTTTTTTCTTTTTCTCTTTCTTTCTTTCTTTCTTTCTCTTACTAAGTAAGCTTGGAGTAGGAACTTGAAGGACAAAGGTGTTTTGGGGATGGAGAGTGATATGAGAGGGCATGCTGAAGTCCCTGGAAGTGACTTCATGCTGATCTCTCAAGCTTTTAGGTGTCAGTACTGGTGTTAATTGCTAACTGGTTAATATGCAAGACAATGACCTACTATAAATTCTGAAGGGAGCTAATGCAGAGGCAGAGGCAGCTAGAAGGCTCAGTAGATAGAGCTCTGGGCCTGGAGCTGGGAAGACCTGGAGAAGGAAATGGCAAACCACTCCAGTATCTTTGCCAAGAAAACCCATGAATGGGTCACAGAGTCAGATACAATTGAACAACATGCCGAGGCATTGCTGGGAAAGAAAAATTAATATGGCATATCATTCAAGTATTCAAGGAACAGACAGTGCAGGAAGAGAGACAAGCCTTAACAATGGACAGGCTAGAATTCCTGAGCTAGAGGGCATATAAGAAATCATCTAGTCCAACATTCTCATCACATAGAGCAACAAACTGTTTCCCATAAAGGCAATGTGACTTGGCCAAGGACATACAGCTAATTAGAGTCAGGGGCTGAGTCTCAGATGCCTAGACTGCCTACCCCCTGCCTTTCCCATTACACTTTGCTGCCTCTCACCATGTCTAAAAGAAACCACCACCCTTCCCGAAAGTCATGCTCACTTCTCTCCTATCCTTCACTACTAAAGCCACAGTTGCTAATTCATGTTGCTTCTACCTTCATAACACTTCTGGAATCCACTCCTCTATCACTCCAATTTAGGTGCTTAACACCTTTTGCCTGGACTACTGCAACAGCCTTCTAATGGGTCTCTCTACCTGTAGTTTCTTCTCTTTCCAGTCCATCCCTCCATATAGCAGCCAACTGATACTCCTAAAGCATATGTCAATTCTCTGCTCAAAAAGCTTCAGTGGTTCTGTACTTAATTCTAGGATAAAATACAAACTCCTTTATTTGGTATTTTAGACCCTCATATTCTGGCCCAAAATTAACATTTTACACTGACATATTATCCCTCCCACCTATACCTACACAATCTACTTTATAGCCAAATTGGCCTACCTGCTGCTTCCCACAGGTAACATCCTATCTCCCACCTCCATTCCTTTGCAAAAGCTGGCTGGCATGCTTGGAATGCTCTCCCTTCTCAATTCCATCTCTCAGAATTCCCAGCTCCCTTCATGACTACGCTCAGGTGTTACTTTCTATATACTACCTTTCCTGATCTTGTTAGTACTCTCCTCATTACTTTGCATTTTCTTTGTATGTATCTTATATGCACATTTACCTGTTAACATGTTGTTTTCCCCAGTAGGCTATAAGACAAATTTTTTTAATTTTATCTTTACCATGTTCCTAGTACCTGGCACTTAGTAGGTGCTTATTCCATCTATCACTAGAGACACTAGAAGTTGAGGAAAGAGGTTCTCTCTGTAAGTGACACTGTCTCTGGAGTAGAAAGTGTAGGAAACAGAGTGTATCAACGGGAGATGACCTTAAGCAAGCCACTTAGCCTCCTACTCTGTTGTGAGATTAGGCTGTCTGATATTTAAAACTCCTTTATAGCTCTGACATTCTACATTCTAACTTTTTGTAACCACATGAAAGCTTCAAGTGAGAAAGCTACTATAAATGTTCTACAGAGGAAACCTGGATGTGAAAAGGATGAATGAGATGAGTTGTAACTGAAGACATGGAGAGAAAGTGACAGCAGGGCACTCGTGGCTATGTTTGAACTCAGTGGAGAAGAGATAGAAGATTCTGAAGCAAAGGGAGGAAACTGGGCAGGTTGCCAAAGTTCCAGGACAGGGATCAAAGGATTAGGAAGAGTTAGCTCTTCTCAAAGTTGGGCCCCAGCCAAATGCTGCCTTGCCACAAAGTTCTCATTTCACTCTAGTTTCCTCAAAGTAGTGCTTACAAATGCTCATTTTGAGGTTTTCACCCGGACAAGGAAATGTCAGAAACATGATCACACAAAACCAAGGTATGGTTACCAGTAGTATAAAAGAGATATGTGCAAAGCCAGACCCTCATCATCACAAACTAGTTTATTCATATATTTGGCACCCTTCCTTTAAGCAATGTCACCCTCACAGAAAGACTTCACCCATTTTGCTGAGTCTGTCCTTCCTAAGTGATTTCCATACTGTACAAGCTCCCCACAGTCAAAGAACTCCTCTTTTGTGAATGATGTCTCTTGGGTGACCCAGAAAAGGGAAAATGGAAGACAGCACTTTCCTTAATCCATGGAAATTGACCGAAGTCAAGAGTAAAACCCATTTACTCCCTGTCCACAGCCTGGTGCTCAAAATTACCTGGTGGTTCCAGATAGAGCCCTCTTTGCTAGGTTCATCGGGGGTCAGGCGGATGTACTGGCTGGTAAGCATGGTGCTGCCTTGGAAATCCCAGAGGGGCATGGAGCTGGATCCGACCCCTACAGAGTCGACAGAGAGTAGATTTAGAGATGCCAAATGTGAGGAATCCGGGAGTGGGGGCGGGTAGAGAAGGCTCCTGATGGTCCAGGTCTCTCTCAATGGGCAAGACTGAAGACTGACTGATGGCGAAAAGCCCTAAGGGAAAGCTAGACAGGAGCCAGCCAGGAGAGTGCTGACCCAGGCAAGTTTGGCGGTCCATGGGAACTTTCTCAGCAACACTGGGACCCAGTCCCAACCCCTCAACCGCGGTCCAGGATCAGATCTGGCGTCCCAGGGTCTCCCTTCCTCCTCCTCCCCCGCCTCGGGCCACGCCCCCGGCCCCTCCCCCCTTGCTCACCCTGGTAGGGTTTAATCAGCGAGTGCTCGCGCTTCAGGTGCTCATTGTTGCCGTTGGTGATGTCAGAAGTCGCAGGCTGGGGGGCGGGTGCGACCAATAAAAGCAGCAGCAACAGGAGAACCGGCGGGAAAGGGCTTAGACTCCCCCCAATTCGCGACCTATGGCATCCCCAGCACCAACCCCAACCTGCCCCGAACCCGGCTGCAGCCCCAGCCGCCATCCTCCTCGCCTCTCCCTAACTTCCGTCAGCTTTACTTCCGCCTTCCGGGAGCATTCTCCAATAACTTCCGGCCGGAAACAAAAGGAAAAGGAGTTGCTGGAAAACAGAATAGGCGAGTTTCGCAGCTATAAGCTAAAAACCTGGCCGGCTGAATTTCTCTGATGCCTCTAGTTTTCTTCCTCTCCCAGAGAAGTTCGGAAATCTGGCCTTCCCGGTTTCTTAGAGGGTGGGACAGGAACCTCTACAAGACAAAAACTTTAGCCAATCATGGAGGAGCACGTTTGGTGCCGAATCCAATAAAGAAGCAGAAGGCGTATCTTCAGAGTCGCTGGAGCCTTAGGTTCCGGACTACAAAAGACTCTTGCTCCCAGCAGGCAGCGCGCCTAGCGGGGCATTTTGGGACTAGTAATCCAAGTGAGCAGCGTTCTCCCGCGGAGCAGCAATTAACTTAACACTCCGCCGAACCTCAGTCTACCCTTCTGTCTAGAGTGCAGAATAGGATTGCTTCTCTGAACCGCCCAGCAACGGGAAGGAGCCGGTCAAATGAAATCCCCAGTCCTCTCAACCCAGTCCCTAGCTTCACGCCTGTGCCCCAGCCCCGCCCCCAGCCCAACCTCACGGAGCTTTAGCCCCGCCCCATGCTTTGGCTCCCTTAATCCCGCCCCTTGTCCCACCCCTTGTTTTGTCTCCTTTAGCCCCGCCCCTAGCTCAATTTCCTTATGTAGTCATTTCTAGCTCCGCCTCCAGCTCCACCTTCGCGTCTCGGCCTTGCCCCTAGCTCCACCTCGGTAGCTTGTCCCCCTCCAGCTCCACCTCCGCCACACCCGCAAAGGTTGTCAGCTCCTCCCTAGCCCCCCCCCCCACCTAGGTCCCTCCCCCCCCCCGCCTCACGCTGCTGCTCCGCTGCCTTCTTTCCTTCCTTCCTTCCTTCCTCTAGGACCAAACCCACCTAGCACCTTTTCCGCCCGCCCCCACCCTCCTCGCCCTGGATCCTCTAATGAGCCCTTAGGTGTGCTCAGCATCCCTCCATCACTCTCTCCTTCAATGGTTTCTTTTGCCAGTCCCTTAATACTGTAAGAATGTAGAAGCTGGGCTAATGACTGGCAGAGAAGGCAGAAAAGAGAATTAATGCATTAAAAAAAAAAATTAGCAACAATTTTTGTAGTGTCGAAGGAAATTCGAGTGTGCCCATATAAGCTGGAGAATGGCTAAACAAATTGGTATACAAATGTGGTATATTAATGTAATGTGTAAGTCAGTCAGTCAATAAACATTTCTTAAACATTTGTTATCTGCTACGTGCCAGACCCTGTACTAAGAGCTGGGGATACAAAAAGAGGCCAAAGACAATGCCAGCCCTCAAGGAGTCCACGATCTAATGGAGGACACATAGCAAACATAGATGTACAGAAAAACTACATATAGGACAAACAGGACATAGAAGAGGGAAGGTACAAGAATTAAGAGGGGTTAGAAGAGGCTTCCTGTAGAAGATGAGATTTTAGTCAAGACTCAAAGGAAGCCATAGAGGTTAGTAGGCTGAGATGGGGAATATTCAGGCATGGGGGCAACATGAGAAAATGCCTAGAGCTTAGAGATGGGGTGTTTTGTTCATGGAACAGCCAGAAGCCCAGTGTCACTGGATTGAAGAGTACAAAGTGGGGAGTTTGGTATAAAAAGACTGGAAAGGCAGGAGGGGAAGGACTTTGAACACCAAACAGAATTTTGTATTTCATCCTGGAGGCAATTAGAGAGCTATGGGGGGGGAGGCTGTGTGTGGGATGTGGTTAGACACGTGCTTTAATAAAAATCGCTTTGGTGGCTAAATTCAGGATGGATTAGAGTGGTGAGAAATTGAGGCAGGTAGACCCACTAGTAGGCTACTGCAGTAATCCATCCCTGAGGTGATGAAGGCCTGACCAGAGTGGTGGCAGTGTTATAGGAGAGAAGAGGTCGTTTTGAGAGATGTTGCAAAGGTGAAATGGAAAAGGCTTTGGCAACAGTTTAAATATGGGGGATGAGAGACAGTGAAGCATTCCAGGATAACTCCTAGGTTTCTAGCCTGAAGGACTGGGAGGATGGTGTGGTGGTGGAGAAGATAATGAGTTCTGTTTTGGACATGTTTTAAGATGTCTACTGGACATCTAGTTCAGTATATCTAAAAAGCAGTTGGAGATGGAAGACTGGGGGTCAAGAAAGAAATTAGGGCAGGATAGGTACATTTGAGAATCATCAGCAGAGAGATGGTAATAAAATCCATGGGAGCTGATAAAATCATCAAGTGCCTGCTGCAAGTCACTTAATCTTGTTTACCTCAGTTTCTCATCTGTACAATAAGCTGGAGAAGAAAAAAAAAATAAGCTGGAGAAGAATGGCAAATTACTCCAGTATCTTTGCCGAGAAAACTCCAAATTGGGTCACAGAGAGTCAGATATGACTGAAACGACTCCACAAATCCTGACTTCAGACAACAGACCATGAAGAATAAGGCATACATTTTCAGACATAGCCAACAGGTTGGTTTGTTTTGCTTAGAAGTACTCTTTTGTTATAATGGAGAAGAGTCGTAAGTCACTGAGAAGTGACAGTGATGTTAAAAAGGGCATCAGCAAAATCTTTTTTTTTTTTGGTTGGGCAATGGGGGTTAAGTGACTTGCCTAGGGTTACACAGCTAGTGAGTGTTATGTGTCTGAGGCCAGATTTGAACTCGGGTCCTCCTGAATCCAGGGCCAGTGCTTTATCCACCATGCCACCTAGCCGTCCCAACAAAATCTTTTTTAAAGGAAGAGTGAGGCTGTTTAGTGGGTCTAGTATAATAATATGAGAAAAATTAGGGGCAGAGCATCATACTAGGTGCTAGGGAAGATTTGAAGCTTAGATAAAGACACAAGCCGTACTCTCAAAGACCTTGCAATAATCTTATAGCTTAGTTTATAGTAGTGTATGGGAGATAAAAAAGCAACACAGATTCTTATAATATCATGCAGTGTAGCATGATAACTTAATAATAGCTATCAAAGCACTGTATAAATATTAGCTCATTTGATCCTCTCAACAACCCTACTGAAGCAGACAGAGATTAAGTGACTTGGCCAGAGTCACACAAGCCAGTAAATATCTAAGGCTGGATTCAAACTTGTCTTCTTGATTTCAGGTCCAGCCTCTAACCACTGCCCTGCCTTGCTACCTCTTAATTGCAGTAGAGAATTATCAAACAAAATACTGGATGCAGTCTACAGGAGAAAGTTATTATTGACTGGGAGAATCAAGGAAGGCTGCTTGGATTAGGAGATAGTATTGGAATTAGATATTAAAAGATAGACAAGAATTCAATAGATCAAAGAGTAGGAGGGAGGACATTCTAGGTATAGCAAACAATTTCAACAAAGTCACAAAAATGTAAGAGTCTAAGCATGTGTTCAGAGGGGAGAGTTGTCCAGTTTGGCTGAAGTATAGAACACATGCAGGGAGTAATACAAAATGGGATAGAAAGGTAAGCTAGTGCCTAATACAAGTCCTTTTAAATACCAACAAGCAATTTGAAATCATTCAGTAAGCCACTGGAGATTTTTTAAGCAGAGGAGTAACAAGACCAAATCTATACATAAAGATTATTCTGCTAAGTATTGTGAAGACTCCATTTGGAATGGGGAAGAGAGGAGAGTAAAGATAGGAAAACCTATCAGGAAACTATTGCAATAGTTTTAGGTAGGTGGAAATGAGGGCTCATAAGAGGATCTTGGTGTCTGGAAAAGAGAGGAAGGGGACAGGTTTAAAAGAGGTTGCTGAGTAAAATCAACAGGACTTGGTGATTGATCGCATACACATGAAAAGTGGAGCAGAGAGAACAAAAAAAAACCCTAAGGTTATGAATATGGGAGATTGGGTGAATGGTAGCACCACAGACAAAAAGGAAAGTCAGAAGGAGGAGCAAATTTTGGGGAAAAGAAAAGGTAATCTGGGGGCAGCTAGGTGGTGCAGTGGATAGAGCACCAGCCCTGAAATCAGGAGGACCTGAGTTCACATCCGGCCTCAGACCAAACACTTGATACTTACTAGCTGTGTGACCCTGGGCAAGTCACTTAACCCCAATTGCCTAAAAATTAAAAAAAGAAAGAAAAGGTGGTCCCTTTTGAATACACTGAATTTGAAGAGTAAGCGGCATATCTGAGTTCAGAGATCCTTAAGGCAGTGGAGATTAGTTCAGAAGACAGAAATAGAGATAGAGATTTAGGAGTCACTTGAAGAGAGGTCATGGGTTGAAGCTGTGGGTGTGAGGGAGATTTCTGAGGAAGAGAGTAGTCAAGTGAGTCAGCCAATAAGCATTTTTAAGCACATAATAACTGTGCTAACCACTGGGGATAGGGAGGAGAAAAGGACCAAGGACAGATCCTTGGGGACTGTCCACTTTAAGGGATAGGAAAAGAATAATGAGCCAGGTAAGAAAACTGAAGGCTTGTTTGGAGAAGTACAAGAACTGGGTAAGTGAGATGAAACGAAGGGTGGAGAGAATATTCAATAGGTCTACATGGTCCACAGTGTCAGAAGCTGCAGAAAATTCCAAGAAGAGAAATAAAAAAAAAAAAGGCATTGGATTTAGCCATTAGGAAGTCATTTTCATTTGTGACTTTCAAGAGAGTTATTCTGTAGAGTTATTTCAGTAGTATTAGAAGTGACAAGGAATTGAGAGACTGAGTCTGGAGGAAGTGGAGGCATTGTGTGTAGATGGCTTTTTTGTCAGCAAGTTTATCAGTAAAGGGGAGGAAAAAGAGGATGAGGTAGAATGGTGGATGGGGTTGGGTCAAGGGAAGGCAATGTTGGGACTTAGGGGACCTGAGCATGTTTACCTGAAGATAGATAAGAATAAGTCAGTGCTGAGAGAGCTTAAAGATGCCTACAGTGAGGTCCTATGGAAAAGGATCAAGGTCCCATTGAGAGGGATTGTCCCCAGGAAGCAGTAAAGTCTCTTGTTGTATGCTGGAAAGATCAACAACATGCTGGAAGGATGAACAGAAGAGTGATAATGTGGAGAGGGCTTGAGGATTGAAAGTAGGAAATTAAGGGAATTCATGTTGGAAGGCTTCAGTCTTCTCAGTGAAGTAAGATCCTAGGTCATCTGCTATCAATATGGGGGTTGTGGGTATGGTTAATGAGGAGGGAAGAGAAGAAAAAGGTTTGGGATGGTTGCTGTGGAAAATGAGATAAGGAGCTGATTTAAAAGAAAGAAAGCAAGAAAGAAAGAAAGCAAGAAAGAAAGCAAGAAAGCAAGAAAGCAAGCAAGAAAGAAAGAAAGAAAGAAAGAAAGAAAGAAAGAAAGAAAGAAAGAAAGAAAGAAAGAAAGAAAGAAAGAAA